TTTTTACATTTAAAGGAACTTAAGCTAGAGTTAGTCAGACAGAAAAACTGACATGTGGAAGTGGTCACCTGGAGTTGCAGACCCACCAAGAAGTCAATCCACTGAGCACAGTTTAGTTTTGTGCCATACAGTCTTAGCGTTCTCATCAGCAGCTGCCATAGTGGAGCATTGAGCTGCTAAAATGCACATATTTCCCATCAGGAGTTGGTGGGAACCAACGCGTTTTTTGGGTTTTTTTTGTCTTTTTCCTTCAAGGTCTGCAAACCTCTAAAGCTCAAAGTCTGGCGTTTTCTCTCCCACAGTGAGCACTGCTCCTAACCTGCCTGAAAACACCCACTTTGAAGTCCGGACTTTTCTCCCGTTACTTATCTGTGTCACCATGTAACACATTTACATAATGCCTGCTTAGCGGCTAATTTGGCACGCCCTCAAACAAAGAATGAGCAGCTGCCCTCCCAGTCCGTCCACCATTATTTCCCCGCTAGAGTCGCATCTGCTAACTCTAAAACGTCTCAAAGTCTCCAGCTGATAGCGGCAGACAGCTGGCATACAGTCCTGAAACCTCGGGTTACAGTACCTAACTAGTGTTGCTCTGCTTTTGTTGAGCCTGCTGACCAATTAGAGCGGACTTGGCTTTTCAAACAAGGGGGCGAAAAAGATGCTCATGCAGTGTACAGTACGAGAATATGTTGTTTGGACATTAAGGCATGTAAACATATTTCTATAAAGATATATTTATGAACCTGTAAATAAGTATAATATGAGCTCTTTAATCTCATTAATTAGACAAAAACACAAAGGAACAATTATGTTGCTTCACATCTGTTGACATGTTTACCCTGTTAGACTCTATACAGTCGGTGTTAATGATGTTTACAACTTGTTGCACTTTCCAAGTAGCCTAACAAGCAATTAGTACAGGTTTAAATGAGCCACTAACACATTCCCGGCTGCCCCGTCGCCATCAGGAGTCGGTCTCTCTTCGCTTACAATGCAATGTTTGACAGAAAGAAGTTGTTTTGAAGTCATCCTGCTGTTTAGCCTCGGTATAGCCTAAACTCCTGATCCTATTCTACCTACACCAACCAGAGGGCACCGCCGCTGCTGTCAGCCATTTGTTTAATAGGTTTACAGTTAACTGTGGATCTCCTGGCACAAGAAAGCCTAGCGAGCATTAAGCTGCTTAGCCCATTGCAACCTTTGGCCTGCCTCTTGCTGGCTGCACCTACAGACGCACATGCAATCAGTCTTTATGTCTTGTTATCATATATAAATACCGTACTATCAACACATTCTTGTGTTAGGAGGGCGATACAAGCTATGCTAGCAGGCTGGAGGAGTCGTATTACATAGACATAGTCACTGAGTAACTTATACTTTACCTAAAGGTTTTAAAAGATAGAATTCAAAAAGAGCTGAATACTCCTGAGCTGCTCTTCCTGAACCAGAAATGCAAGAAAAAGATACACAATAGGGGAATGTGGAGATATAGTATATGGCCTCTCTCAGGAAGAGCACCCAGGGTTGTAGTCGATGCTGTAGCTGCAGGAGGTTCTGCCAATGAATGTTTTATTAGCGTTAATGGGAAGGGAGAAAGGACAGGGGTGAGATATGAGATTGGGGTGATGAGAAAGAAAAAACGGCAGCTAAATTCTTGTAATATGAATCCTCTGCTGCTAATGGGATGATCTCAGAAAGAGGTTAGAGGGGGCAGCTGATGTACATTTTAATTAACGCCGGGTGCACACCTTTTTGAAATCTATTTTTTTTCTTTCTTTCTTTATGTGCATGGGATTAGTTGTATGCATTTAGAGAGGATTTAATCAGTGCTTTTGTGTGCCCCTGCTGTCTTGGCATCTTTAAGTGAGCATCTGAACACACGCAAGTATTGATTTATTGCTGCACGTGCGCACACTTTCATTGCCTCCCCCGTCCTCCAATATTCATGTGTCCCTTTAATCGGGGACAATAGACGGAGAGGAAACACTGCTGATGTTGCACCCCGGGCATAGAAAACCCTGATACCTGAAACCGGTTGATTCTAAGAGTTGATTGACAAGGAGGAAGCGTGGGGGACAGGTGAAGGTGAAGGATATGGATGGCGGCAGAGGGGAAATGTGAGATGCACCGATAAGCACAGGGGAAAATCTCTGCAGTGTTATTACTTAGAATTTGATCACGTTCAAAATATTTCCATTATTTATCTGTCTTTACTCCAAAACCCACTGGCAGGTTGGAAAGGCATTTTTGAAAAATGACAGCATTTATGAGAGACTGTAAAACAGAAAGAAATGTTGGATTTTGAACGTTCTGACAGTCCTTGAACTACTCGTCTATGAAAGTACTGTTCTGTCGGCTTAAAATTGCGATATTTCATCAAAATCACTTTACCCTACATGTCTCATTTGAGAAAAATTAGTACCAGATTCTGTTAAGGAACAAAAGTTTTGTGCTCTACTGTGTAACTCAGAAGCCATTAGTGAGTCACATGAGAAAAATTCAAGGGCTTCTCCACTGTACTGGGATGAACTGCAGGCTGTGTTTACATGATATAGAGAGGAGACAAATATGGAAACTTGAAACTAAATTTAAGATATAAGTAGTCAAATATGTATATGTGCGTCCTGTGGGCACTTGGAAAAATCTTTACAGCATTAGAACTTTGTTTTGATGCACAAAAGCTATTTTTGAGTTCTCTCTACTTCTAGCCATGTTTGTGCTCATCACATAGAGGTCTGGGATTTTATATGTCGTTAAAAAATGAGCCCACAGTTAATAACAATAAGACAGGAGTAAAAAAATAAATAAATCCCAGATACTGCTTGTAGGATAAATTGATTATTCTCTAAATTAATCTGTTTTCGTGCAGTTGAAGTTGGAAATGAAAGTGCATCCACACCGCAGGATTCAATTCTCCACATAGATTAAATCTAAAATACCTTCATTCATACTTACCGACGTCCTTTTCATGACCCTCACCGTGTATGCGGGTGTTATTGTTTTCATAACACAATTTAAGATACTGATCTACTGTGTGTGTGTTGTGTTTTCCAGAGGAGGAGCTGAGGAAGTTGCGGGAAGAGACCAATGTGGACTCCCTGCGGCAGGAGCTGGAGAGAGAGCGCAGCAAGAGGATAGACCTGGAGCAGAAGATGAATGAGGTGCTCAAAACCAGGTAAGGCGACAACAGTCACGTGCACAAGTGGACGACGGCGGATAAACAGGAAGTAATCGTGAGGGAAAGACAGGAAGCCGTGACGCTGCACTTTGCAACAGTTCAGCTCAGCAGAGTTTACCATGGGTCAGTTTGGCCGCTGTGTGTGCCAGCGTCGGTGCTACCCAAGATTTCTGATATAAATAGAAGCATCAGCAGCTTGGTAGGCGGAGAATTCCACAAGGAGGTGCGTCTCTGCGTGTTTTGAGGGGGATGGAAAGAGAGAAAAAAAAAACAGAAGCGAGTCACAAGTCACCAATCCGAGTCGCCAAATGCTCACTGTGACACGGAAGCTATGCTGGTGTCAGGAAAAACCTGCGTCTGTTGGCACCGGCCGAGCCCTTAAACCCGGGGTGAAGGGCCCCCGAGTGTGTGTGTGTGTGTGTGTGTGTGTGTGTGTGATCAAGTGATGCCTCTTTGGCTGCCGGTGGGAAATTCCACTGGTGATCTCTAAGTGATTACCAGCACAGAAAACATGGCCTCAGGAATGTCAGAGACAGTTCAAGAGTTTGTAAGGGCTGAGATAATGCACCATGACTTGGGAGTTTTCCTCAGTTAATCCTTTAGCAAGTTCCAGATGGAGACATTCATGTGAGGACAGCAGGCAGTAAACATTTCTTTCTAACACGAATACTCAAGTCCCCACAACCAACTTCTCTTGAAGCCTTAATTATCAGTGAAAAATAATTACTTTGTCTTGAGGGAGGAGATTAACACAACCCAAAACTCACCGGCATGTTATCTTTAAAAAGAATCACAAATATTACACCATTAATCAGAGCTAGAAAATAGAAAAATAATAATGTGGCTTTCAAGTTTCAGACGGTCCTTGAACTAATCATGTGTGCTGTGCAGGAAATTAACCAATTCTGAGCTTTAAAGTTGTGATACTTCATCAAAATCACTTTATCTTGTCTCCTCAAAAACAAACTGTTTGCGCCGGCAACTGAAGCAACAGAAAAGCAACGATCACATTAGACACTCAGCTTTGGCAGACTCTGCTGAACTGCAGGCCGTGCTTAAACAGAGTAAATAAAGTATGAACACAAATGTAAGAAAGTAGTAAAGTAGCTATAGTATGTAGAACCACATTTGTTCCAGTTTTGGTATGTGGGTACTTGGAAAAATGCCTTCCGTATTGATTCCAGGTATTTTTGTACAATAATTAATCCGAAAAATTCAACTTTCGCGTTTGTATTTTTAGGATTTATGGCAGTATTACTTTGGTATATTGCACAAAAGATGTTTTAAGAGGTGTAGAACTTTATTTCGCAGTAAAAAAGTGAGTCAAAATGTGACAGGAGCAACAAAAACCCAGCTTGGGGTTAAACCATTAAAGATGAGAGGGTGAAACAAATACACTCTGTGTGCTGTTTCTTCCTTAGACTTTATTTGTTTGCATTTATGACTCCATGTTTGTGCTTTACTTTTAGCTCCTGTTTGCATGCAATTAGCGCGACACTTAAATCAAAACACTGTATGGAGCTCATGTGTGAAGTTAGAAGAGAACGCGTGCTCGGTGTTGGCATAAACTTTCCTCTTTCACTCTTTGTTTTTGTGTTTTTTTTTCCGCTGGCATTGATCATTTTGTCACCCATCTGCTGTGAGATGGCAACAGCGACATCACTGACCTCGCACAGACACATTAGCACCGACGTTGCTTCTAATCAGTCTGTCTCTTTGTGCTGCATCAGTCTTGCGTTGATTGGTGCAGCGTGGCAGCTTTCCACATATTAACACGTGAACTTTCTGTCATGACAAATCTCCCTCCTTCTCTCTCTCGTAGACTCGAGGACTCTCCACCGCAACCTCCCCGAAAACAGCAGTCGCCCTCGAACAATGGAACAGGTGAGACCCCCTCCGGAGGACGACACAGAGAGAGAGAGCGGGTGGGTGGGAGTCGAGTGGGAGCCCGGGGAGCCGACAGGAAACGAGGAAGGAAGGACGTTGACGTCTTCCAAGTGTGGGAGTCAAACGGTTTGCTCTCAGGGGGAGGTGGGGAGGGGAGGTAGATGTAGGATGTGTGTGGCGAAGTGCTCGATGGTGCGTCGGAAGTGTTAGCGGGTTACTGCAGGGCATGAAGCAGCGTGGAGCGTGCGTGACAACACACTCGCAGGGTGTTTTCCGGTGTGCGGTTTGCAGTATCAACAACCAGTAACGAGCGATTCTGCCGTGGAGGTTATTCGCTGTCATTACTCCTGATCCACACTGCCAATTTCCGCACCATAGGAATGTGTGGATTTTGTACAAGCGAGGGGGGAGAGGAGCTCGTTAGCGCAATAATAGTCAGGTGGTTTTTGTGATGTGTGTGTGTTTTGTGTATATTTGAACTAAATAACAGCCTTTGTCATAGCTTGACTTCCAATGACCCAGTGACTCTGTGTGTGTGTGTGAGTGTGTGTGTCGTTTTACAGAAAGGGAGGGAGAGACGGAACGGCTAATTTTGGAAAATAGGTTATGATTGTAGATCACTTCATCTAGGGCAGACATGCCCGAGCTTTAGCTGGTATCGGAGGTGTGTGCCAGTGTTTATCTGGATAGATTAATACCGTTTGAGTTTAGCTTGTGCGGCTAAAGCGACAGAGAAAGTGAGCATAATTTGAGAAAGAAGGGAGACTGAGCAGAGTAATTTGGGCCGATGAGACTGTGTCAGCTACAAATTAAAATGGAGTCTAACAGAATGCGATGCGACCCTACTTGAGCTTTCACTTTGCCATAAATGCATTAGCTGTTTTTTTTTTTTTTTAAACAGTATTTATCCTCGCAGGGAAATGTGACTGAGCACTCGGGCTGTTAGTCAGCTGCTACAGCTGCTCGGTACAACTCACAGTAAATTGGTTTACACTGAGAGGTTACGCCACAGCAGCTGAGGGTTCCAGTCTTTGCTCAGGGGCACTTCAGCGTTAGCAGTTGACTCTCTGCTCATCTCCATCATCCCCGAAGCAATGTGACAAGCTTTTTGTCCTTGTTAGCATTATGTGCAGTGTACAATTATAACAGGGCCACATTCACCACCTGACATTCTGAGTAATTTTTAGAACAATTTAATTTCTTTAGTGACTTTAAACAGCTTAGAATTCTAAAATATTAAAGTGAGATGCCCCAATAAATTATCCACAAATGCTGTCCCTAATTAGAAAACCTGGAAACACATTTGAAGTATTGTTTTATATCATGTTTGTATCTGGGCTGCAAGGTGGAGCAGTGGGTAGCACTGTTGCCTCACAGCAAGAAGGTCGCCGGTTCGCATCCAGTGGAGTCTCCATGTTCTCCCCGTGCAGCGTCGGTTCTCTCCAGGTTCTCCGGCTTCCTCCCACACAGTCCAAAAACATGTTGAGGTTAATTGGTGATTCTAAATTGTCCGTAGGTGTGAATGTGAGTGTGCTTGGTTGTCTGTCTCTAAGTGTAGCCCTGTGATAGACTGGTGACCTGTCAGGGTGTCCCCTGCCTTCACCCTGAGTCAGCTGGGATAGACTCCAACCCCCCCATGACCCTAGTGAGGATTAAGGTGTATAGATAATGGATGGATGGATGTTTGTATCTCTTTATGCGGCTCAAACCTTTTGCTACTACCAAGGTAGCAGCCGCTCCGTGTGTAATTCGTTTGGTAACATTAACTTCAACCTCTAAATAATAATATAGTAATTTAGCACAGCCCCTCGCCCTTTGAAAATCACATTATTAGTCACACACTGTGCCCATGCTCGTATTGTATTGTGACATTTCAACAAGTAAGCACAGTTTAATCTGCTCTCTTCGGTTTCGCTTATATGTTTTTGGTTTGGAAAAGCTGATGAAAACACACAACACTCCAAATCTCTCTTATTTAATAAACCTCTTAATTACCACGGCAGCATCATGCATGTGGAGCGATGCACAACCAGGACAGAGGGGTGTGCTACGAAGTGAGATTAATGAGTTCATGAGGTACGCCGAGTCTTAAAGTAGACTTTTCAATGTCACAAAGGTGTCTCTCTTTTAACCTGGGTAGGTCACCATGGTAACGGATGCGTCACAGCTAGCCTGCTCCTGAGGAGGTTCTGTTCAGCTGTATGAAGTGCCACCATATTCACATCCATTTTCAGCAGAGGGGATAATATGTTGTCAATGCAAACCTGTTGAGCTGTACATCAGTCGTGCTATTGAATGAAACTGTGCAGCTACAGTATCTCATCTGCATCCATGTGGAGGTGCAGAAAAGGCAAAAAACACAGTCATATACTTGGTTCTAAATTTGCTGCCGAGACTGATCTACACACAGCTGGAACAGGGGCGAATAGAACACAGATTAGAAAATTTAACTCTGTTTGTATTTATCATTGAGAATATTTAATTTTACTTTGATGTGACCAAAGCTGAAGTGATGTCCACACATCCTCCGTTATGGGACAGTGTCAGAGCCAAATGCACTTCTCGAGTATCATGTTTAAATGTATGAAGTCTAAAGTTTAAGACCTCTAATGTGCAGCTGTCATGTTAGTGTGCACTGAGTCGTAAAATCAGTATATTCTCTTACATAATTCACACAGTTCCAGTTCTTTTTATCGTCATACATGTTGATATTCTTTAAAGCTCTCCATTTTAACAACGTGTTCCTTTTGACTGAAGAATGTGGCACGCGATCGGTTCGGTTAATAACCATCGTCTCAGCTTGGGGTTTTAGGTTTTGTTAATCTAGCTAACACGAGGAAAGCTTGGCTTTGTTAAACACGCTTCTTAATGCAGACCAGACCAGGTTCAATCGTTTCAGTCTCACGACAAGTCACGAGACAAATGACATTAATTGATTGATGAGATTAGCTCACCGCATGTCCGTCGTTTTATTGGAACAACACTTCACTGCTGGTGCACTCAATTAAAAAAACACAAGCTTAAAACAACAAACACTAACTCGATCCGTCTGTTCTGTTTAGCGGATAAACAGCAGAAGGAGGTGTGGAGTTCACGGCTGCAGAAGTGGCTGTACGAGCGCTTCGGGGTTTACATCGAAGACTTCCGCTTCCAGCCGGAGGAAAGCACCGTGGAGGCCGAGGAACCGTTAAGTGCTAAAAGGTGGGTAGGACCCGCTCTGGAACAGAACGTGAAGTGTCCGTCCTCAGGTATTCACTCTGCGGCTCTTCAGTATTGTGGAGTAAGACAGCGGGACGGCAGCAGGGGAGCACTAAAGGTGTACAGCAGGCGGCAGTTGTCACAGCGGTCAAGAATTGGCAAAATCATTTCTTGTATGTGGAGAATAGAATCACCGTTCACACCTCGAATATGTGTTTTGATGAAAACATGTACCTGAGACACACTGACTCACTGTTAGTTTGAACTGTTCAGCCGCATGGTATTAGCTGCCTCATGATGTCCTCAGATCAGGTTTTTATTTTGCTCAGAAAGGACAGAGGACATTGGAAGCTTTCTTTCCTTGTTTAGTTCCTCTGCCGCTTCTTTTTCTCCTCCCCTGTAAAGGAGAGTGAGTCATGCCACTCCAATGAAAGCCAAAGTGTTGCCACCTCCTCTCACAGATGAAGCAGCGTTTTGTTTGTATGTCCTCATACGTGAGCGTCTACGTGTGTTCTGACCTTCACTTTTTGTGTGTTTTCCGTCCAGGTTGACAGAAAACATGAGGCGACTCAGTAAGTACTCCAACACACACAATTACATGGAAAGGTTGCTAGAATATTAGCTTTGTAGGATTTGGTTTTATACACTTAATGCATCCCTTAAGAAAACCAAATCATTTACGTGCAGTATAGTTGTTGATGCAACAAACATAATACTGTCCTTTTGTTTGAATTTGACACACAACACTGACCCTCCACAGCAGCGCTACCCAACCACCGGGTCATTTGGTACCACAGAAAGCAAAGAAAACTTTTATTTTTTATTTTACTTCTGGCTGTTTCAGGGTGTTTTAAAAAAATGACGAGATCATTTTCACGTCACTTGCGTCGGTGCTTGTTTCCAGCATCATGCCCGACCGTTAAACGAATCTGCCAAAATGACTAGAAAACAAACGTCTCTGGAGAGACTCTATGCTGAGACAGAAGAAAAAGTACATACATAATTAACAATAAAAAGTAATTTTATTCATTTACGACACTTTTTTAATTGAAAAAAAAAACAAACATGGTTACTTGTTATGTGAAGAAAATTGTCTTGAGAAAAGGTTGTGGACCGCTGCTCTACAGGATAAAGTTATGCATAGAAAATAGACGGATGGATGCACACGACACTGAATATATCCCTGTACCCTTTTTATTACAGAGCGAGGAGCCAGACCTGTCACCAACTTCTTAAGGAACCTCTCCGCCTTATCTAATTGGCACTCCGTCTACACCTCAGCTATTGCCTTCATTGTGAGTGTACACTTTTCCCACTCAGAACACACATGTGAATCTATGTGGCCACCTTATGGTATCCAACCATTTCTATAAGAAGATGTGACTCACTCGTCTCAGTCTATAGGAGTCTAAGCTTTATTAGAAAAACTGTGAAATACGTAGTTTTGCTTTGACCCCAATGGGTCTTACAGCCTTGGTGCATGACCGGGAAGCTAAATGAATGGCAAAGTAATTTCTTTATCACAATGACGGGTTGCAATGGCTCTGCCAAAGACCGCAGAGGTCTAGTCAGATCTTTATTAACATCCCCGGTTCATGGCTGTGTTAAATCATCTTCAGTCCAGTGATTTGCGGCCCTGCCACAGAGATCGTCCTGCTTTAGTGTTCACAGGTGACTCTAATAACATCTTCCTCCCCCATTACATCACCCAAAATTAAAAGCTTCATTCCAGGGTCAGAACCAGCCTCCTCATTCTTCTTTATGCTCATCTTGTCATCAGTTTGTCTCATGCATAAAACAACACTGTTTTCCTGAGCAGAGATCTGTCAAAAGAAGCTGGATAAATGTTGTTGGCTATTAAGACATACTAGTGATAAAACTTAAATTGGAAGCTTCTGCAGCAGCACAGAAATGTGGAGTTCTCTGTCAGCGTTGATGAGCTGCTGTTTAGATCAAACAAATGAGTCACTGCATCAACGCACTGAATACAAATTCCACTTGTCAGCATTATTACCAGAAGAATCTATCCTTGTCCTATAAAGCCCTGGATTTAGTTCACATTGTAAAGTGTAATCACCACTAACAAATGTTTAACTGTGTTTCATTTTGCCTCCAGATTTACATGAATGCTGCTTGGCATGGCTGGGCCATTCCCATGCTCCTCTTCCTGGCAATCCTGCGCTTGTCCTTAAATTACCTCATCGCCAGGTAAAAACACGGATCATTTATTCATCAGACAATGCTGTATTACAGAAACAGCCATCATGTCAGTTCTCTTGTATTGTTACGACACTGTTGAGGGGAGCACTTCTGTCAGACTTTCAGCTCTCGGAATCATCATTTATTTATTATTTTGTGCTATAAAACCAGATTAAACTTCAATACTGAGGTTTGCATGTGTGCCATTGGTTCTTCTTATTTCTCACCATTAAATAAACAAATTGTGCCTCAGATAATGAAACCCCAATTAGAAAACAAGCCTTTTTCATCACTTTTACGCTTCCTAAAAGCTCTTTAAAGGGCACTAAGAATCCACGTATGAAGGGAAAACCCGAACACGTTCTCCTATTATTGATCATTATAATTGCTACTACAGAAGACCAGTAAACAAACAAGACAAAGCACCTGTTTTTACTCACAGCTGCAGGAGCTGAGAAACCAATCCCCTTAAAGCTGGGTATTTTAGGGATCATTATGAAAACAGGTCACATTAGTATTTGTCAGACGTTTGTCTGGACTCAGACTTTCAAACTGGGACACTTGGTCACCTTAAAAGTGATGAAGCGGTTGGAGATGAGTCTTTTGGCCCCATTTCATCCAAATACCGTATAAAGATGCACATTATTTACATGGGCTTCATGTTCTGCAGAGGTTGGAGGATCCAGTGGAGCATCGTGCCTGAGGTCTCTGAACCCATGGTAAGACGACTTCCCTCCTCCTGTTTCGCCGCCGCCTCCTCTTTGTGAAAATATATCCACCAATGGAGGCCAATATGTTGTCTGACCAACTCGTCGCTTTGTTTTATGCAGGAGCCTCCAAAGGAAGACTTGACCGTATCTGAGAAGTTCCAGCTTGTACTTGATGTCGCACAAAAAGCACAGGTACAACACATGCTCGCTGTCAAAGAAGTGCACACAAATAAGTAAACGCTGTTGGTTCACGCGGTGCTTTAACTCTCTTTGCAGAACCTTTTTGGTAAGATGGCGGATGTTTTGGAGAAGATAAAGAAGTAAGTTTGAACAGAAATGTTGCGTTTTACTGTTACGAATCAGCATTATAATACAAATGACTGATGTTTCTGTGAACTTGTCCACCAGCCTGTTCATGTGGGTGCAGCCGGAAAGCACCCGGAAACTTTACATCTGCCTGTGGGTGGCTTTCATCACCTCCTGCGTGCTGCCGTACAAGCTCATGGGCTTCATGATCGGTACGACTTAAGCTGCTTTATCCATCTGACATTCTGTACATTCTGTGTTTAGACCTTGAAAGAATGCAAAGTCTTACGCTCAGTCCCGAGCACACAAACAAGGGCATTCATAGAGAATTGTGTAACTGTTCTCCCTGTGCCTGCGTGGGGCAGCTGCAGGCTATTGACATGTGTATCTGATAACATTAGTTACTACTTTTCCTTGTAAACAGAGTGTTTCCGAACCACTGCAGGCTCGTGTTTCCTGGAAGATGCTTAGAGCTTAAATAATCGTGGACAAAACGGCTCATTCAGCCGAGCGCACAGTCCTGAACACACTCCATTTCTCCTGTAAATGAAAGGAACAACCGAAGTCGCGCTGTTTAAAAGCTTCATTTGGTAGTGAGGTGTTGTTTAACTGTTTGACTATGATTAGGCTCAAAATGTCAACCTGGTTCCAGACCTCTCAACTCCTACCACATCCCAGATTTGTTTAGTGAATCATGGAAGCAAAATAGGAGAGCCAATGGATAAATTACGAATGGAGTCTTCATTTTGCTGCGTAGCGAGCTAACGACCGAGCTACACTTACCGTAATTTTCGGACTACTGAGTGCACCTGAATATAAGCCACACCCACTAACTTTAAAAAGAAAACAAAAACTTGTCTATAAGCCGCAGGTGTCCACGTTGTAACACGAGATATTTACACAGAAAGATTTTTTTAAACTTTTAATTAAATACGTACCGGTAACATACACAAATACGTAAATGCTTTTTTCCGAACAGTGCCTGTAACAACAACAAATACAGCAGCCTACTGGGAAAAGTCATTGATGGCTATCTTCATCTTCCTGCTAAAACCAGTAAAGTCGTCTTCTTCAGTGTTGTAATTGAATTACTTACTGTCAGAATTCCTTCGTCATGCACTTCCTCAGTCTCTCTTTCGTTGTCTTTCTCAATGTCACTTTCGCCTCGAGGCAAATTCGTAAAAATCCGTAAATTAGCCGCATCATTGTTTAAGCCGCAGTGTTCATGCGGGTGAAAAAAGTTGCGGCTTGTAGTCTGGAAATTATGGTAATATGTTGGCACACGTGGATGTGAGCTGCCCAAGTTGTAAGTCCATCTAAGGAAATAACAGTTTTAAAATGTGGATATTTTTCGTGAACGTTATAAATGTTTGCTGCTCCTCACAGTTGTGTTAACTCATAATAACATCATTAAGCAGGGACACTTAGGGACTCATGAGGGAAAAAGTACAGAATTAAAATGCAAAATTCCGCCTTTTTTCTACAACTAATTGGCAAACATGAATATAAAGTCGCCGTCCAGGGTTACTGGCTGTATGAATATGTGATAAAATACAGAAATGTGAATGTACTGAAAAGGCATTCAGTGATGTGAAGGATACAAAACTGTGGCTATTTGTGCTACTGAGATTTAAAATCATAAAAATCCTTGAACTAAAAATGAAAGACTTTTAAAAGGAGGAAATTACTTTATCAAACTTTTTACAACAAGATTGCTGCGGATGATTTTGTCGATAAAGTCACAGCGACGTGTTCCTTTTTTTTTCACATCCGTGTCTGTTTCTTGTCTCTGCAGGCCTGTACGCCGGCATCAAGTTCTTCATCATAGACTTCCTGTTTAAGAGCTGTCCAAAGCTTCGGGACAAGTACGACACGCCCTACATCGTGTGGAACAGCCTCCCCACCGACCCACAGCTCAAAGAGAGGACCAACGCCAACGTGTCGCGGCGGGTAAGGCGGCAGGAACGCACGCACTTCTTTCTCATTCCCTGCCTCCTCTCGCAGGATCAGAAACTCTTTTAAATGACACCAAAACCTCTTTAACCCTCTGAACCCTTAAAACCAGCCAGCGGGTTTGAAAGGCTAAAATACTACCAGATGCAGAGGCAGAGATTTGTTTTGGTTTCGAACTTTCTGAAAATCCTTGAACTAAGAAAATGGGATATGCCTTTTCATCTGGAAACAAATCTTAAAATTATAATATGTATTCTAAATCATTTTATTGGCATGTATCATTTAAAAAATTGGCAAAAATAAACCATTTGCTTTAATCAGATGCTGTAAAAAACAAGAAATTTTGTGGACTTGGACGCAACTGAGAAGCCACGAGTGACTCAGTCGCAACCAGCAATCACCGAATAAAAATCTAGAGACTTTTTTTTTGCTGAACTGGGCCCAACTGCAGGCTGTCAGAGGAAATAGGATTCAAGTATGGGAAGAAACTATGCAAACAAACAAAAAATAAAGAATGTATAAATGTAAAAATAGTCAAATATCTGTAGTATGAAGATTTGTTCTCAATATTCTAACATATATATAGACACTTGGACAAATGCAGAACTTATTGATTCTACATTTTTAACATAAATGATGAAGGAAATTCCACTTTTTTTATTATTTCTGGCATTATTACTTCATCATACTGCAAAGACATGTCTCTCTGCTTCTGTTCCTGGTTGTGCTGCTTCCATAGAGGTGCACAACATTATATTGCAGTTGTGGGGTTTAGAGGGTTAAACTGTCCCTATTTATAGCTTAAAACCTTGGCGTGAACCTACGTTCATACATACAGAGGCTTTAGTTGCATCACAAGACCTTAAGCAGCTACTGCAGTGATGCCGTTGAGGTCCTCTGGAGGTTTAAACAGCCAACAGTTTCTGTGAATTCAGGTTATTTCCATAGAACAATGCGCTGAGCTACTTTGGCAGGGAAAGCTAAAGATGTTAGATGCTGATAATCGCGTTTGAGCGGCAGATTGGTTTAGAGAGAGGCTGCAGGTCCGGCTCAGTCTTTCATGTCGCGCTCCCACTGAAGTGTCAGTTCACCTCCCACTGACCTCCTGTGGCGGAGCGCAGAGGAGGAAAAAAAAAGAAAAGCCCATTAATTATCAAAACATCATCCCTCCTGTCAGTCAGGCATTACAGCTCACTGTCTCTTCTCACTGTGTGGATACCACAAAGTGTCTTGTCTTTACATAAAGTGTGTGGCCTCAGTCACAGGTGTACTCTGTCGTTTCTCCCTCTCAGCTCTCTGCCAGTGAGAAGGTAGGGACCCTGGTGTGTCTCCCTTTGGTTCCTGTACTGTGCCTGGGTGTGCCGCCAAGCTCACCTCAAAGCCTGTGTGCGATGCATAACACACCTTAGGACGTAGAATGGATCAAAATGTCATAACGACGCATTTTCAAATCATTCCTGTATGCTTTTGTTTTTAACATTAAAGCGAATTGTTTTTTGTACTCGATTTAACAATTCCAAGAGACATTTTTGATCCATTGACATTAAATGCTCTGTGAGAAGCAGCAGCAGCGTGTTTACCGAGTAGCTAATCTGCACATAGAGCCGACCCCTGACCGACGTAATTTCATGTTAGCGCATTAAATCCTCCCTCTTCCCATTAGACAAAGTAATTAACCCTCCAGTGTAGCTGCTGTTAGCGTTTATACTGTTGCTTGATTGCCTTCAACTGTTTTTTTTGTTCTTTTTTTTTTTTTTTTACAAATATTTACGCAGGCCTGAGGAATCAGATAATGCCTCCAAGTATGGATTGTAAAAAAAAAAAAAAAAATCAGCATTTCTCACAAACTAACAAGTTTTGTTGGTCTGCCGACTGTCTGTAGCGTTTCGGATGCTGACCGAGTGAATGAATGAATGATGGCTCTCACTCTCCGCTTTGCACGTCACACCTGAGCCTGCAGCAAAGAAGTGCACATGCAGCGAAGCACAAACTGCAATATTGAAAGTTGAGGAGCTGTTTGAAGTTTTTTGGCCACTTGACTGTTGCCCTGAGAAGCTGTGTTTCAAACAGATGTGCACAGACGCTAACGTTAAAATGTTTCCCCCCCTTTTCCTCCTCATGTGTTCACTCATCATCTTTTCTTCCATGCTGTCTGCATGTTGCCTCCTTCTTTTCCTGCTTCTATCCTCCTGTCATTTTGTTTCCTTCCTCCTTTTATTTCTTCCTCCCCTCCCCACCACCACCACCACCGTCTTCGTTCGTCTCTCTCCAGGTTCAGCCAGTGGTTTCTCGAAGCAGCCTCGCCACCGTCCCGTGCGGGGTGAGCAGAGAGGAGGAAACAGGTCGTTCTCACAGCACCAAGAAGGGAGCCTTTCACGAGATCTTCAACCTGCTGGAGTCAGAGCGCCCTCTGGCGGGTGAGGCCACTTACTACAGTTCTTTAAAAAAAAAAGAAAAAAAAAAAGATCAGACCTGATTTCATGTCTATCAGTTCCGAGTTTGACGTCACCGCCACCTGAAATCATGAGCTAAAACCAGCGGTGCTGTGTGTTCTCAGTGTGTGAAAACGGCTGGAGGTGCTGCCTGATAAACAGAGACAGGAAGATGCCCACGGACTACATCAGGAACGGAGTGCTGTACGTCACAGAGAAGTAAGTGGAGCATTCATCTCTCAGGAGAGCATATTTTATCACCAAACGTCTGCTCTGCCTTGGAGATTTCCTCTCAAGTAGGAAGGGATTGGTTGCGATTTGAAACCACAGATTCTCTCTGTGTATCCATCAGTCAGTCGGCAGTGTATCGAGCAGGACAGCGTTCCTCCTGAGAATACATCTGATCTCGTCTGATCTCCTCACTTTGTTGAATATGACTGACACGACGTCCGTTCAGTCTGATGTGGGTTTTGCTGCCCCTGTTTTCCTGATAACTCCCTTCACCGAGGTCTCACTCTTTCTGTCCGTCAGCTACTTGTGCTTCGAGAGCTCCAGCTCCAGATCCAGCTCCTCCAAGAAGAATAAAGTAATCAAGCTGGTCGACATCACCGACATACAAAAGGTAATCACAGTTCAGTACGCTGCAAGAATGGCCCGCGAGCTGCAGACCTCCAGAATAATGCAGCTGAATACGTGTACTTCAGCCACCTGAATCCTGAGCAGGTTCTGGGTGTTCTGTCACATTTTTACTCACTGTGGGCTTTTTTAATATTGCAATATCAGAATCAGAAACAGATTTATTGGCAGGTATAGTTTGCACAATGCGGGGAATTTGTTCTGGCGGGTTGGTGCAACAATAAATACACAGTGAGGAACAATGTACAAGATACAAATATAAAAATAGCTAAAAAATAAAAGTGACTAAAAGTGAAAATAGCTGTAGTCGTGCAAAGCAGAAGCAAAAGATCTTTGTGCAGTGAAGAATTAAGTTTAAATAAGAACCATGGAACTGTAGTTATTTACAAGAGTGCAAAGTGTGGAAGTGCAACATGAGCAATAACAGCGAGGATAATGAGATGGTGAGCAAAGAGGGAACACGTTAATGTAACGTATACTGTCCATAGAGGGGACGGGGGGTCCTGTGCCTCGTTCATGAGGCTGGTGGCACACGGAAAGAAACTGTTCTTGTGGCGGGAGGTTCTGGTCCTGATGGACTGAAGCCTCCTGCCAGAGGGGAGTGACTGGAAGTGTCCAGGGTGGGAGGGGTCGGCCACAATCTTACCTGCAGGCCTCAGAGTCCTGGAGGCGGTATGAAGTCCTGCACCTCTGTGGAAACACCACAACCATATCTAGAAGTAGAAAGAACTCAACAACGTCGTCTTTTTTGACGACCTATATGCTAATTTGTTTTTATACTTAGCTTCTGTCTGTTTTGTGTAAACACAGCCTGCAGTTCAGATGAAAAGCCCTGAAACTTTGATGAAGTGACTGTTTGTTGCAGCAGAATCACAGTTTTGCAGTGAAGCACAGAAATATTTAATTTGCACAGAACCTTAAGGCACATGGCTTATTTTTGATTGTTTTTTTTAATGACACACTGAAACAACAGATTTGGTTGTTTTCCCCAAACAAACCCAAAAGTGACTCGATTAGTTCAAAGAAAGTTAAAAAATCCGTACCTTGATTTTTTCCCCCTGTTTTTGAAGCTTCTTGTTGTGATAAATGGTTTATTTTTTTTTGCCATTTAAAACAGAAAAACAAAAATAACATGCCCTGTGGTTCAGAAGGTAACCTTGATCGATTTAAATGTAGTTATTTGCTGTAGATTTATGATACCTAACAGTCTCCTGTTTCCTCCTCCACAGTACAAAGTGTTGTCAGTCCTACCAGGAAGCGGGATGGGCATCTCCATAGCGACTCCTTCCACTCAGAAGGTACAGACTGTTGCACAAGCAGACCAAGCTTATAAAGAGCCTTTTAAATCATAGACTGGAAGCTTTAGTTTATGTAGAAAATGGGTTTTATAATAAGCTGCCACACGTTTATAAAAGCTACAACCTTGAAGTCATTGTTGTTGCCTCCAGTCGATGGTGTTTGTCCTCGTGTCCTTTCCTTCAACTCCAGAAACTCTTTATCACTACATTTATTTTAATAAAGCCAAAGAATGATTGTAACGCAAACTGACAACAATACATCACATGTAAAACTCCACAAATCTGAGCTGTTGTGTCCATTAATGTGTGATTTATTAGGAATAGCAGGTAACTAGATGACAGAGATGCTGTTTGAACAGTTTGTCCCAGTTCAGCAAAACCAGAGAAGCAGGTACAGGTGCGGTGGTTTGGTTATCACTAAAACAGTAGTTGATATTTATATTACATGCTGAAAGATGAGCTTATATTCTGATGAGGTTTTTACTTCTCTGAGGTTGGAGTTGTGCCGTTTTGCACAACAGCAGCCCCAAGTGGAAACACCAGGTAACTGCAGACATTTTGGGGACTTCAGATACTTTACGTGATCAGTGCATTTGTTTTTATTGCTTACATTTCTTCTGTGTTATTAGTTGAGGTAACTTTTGTACTGATTATTTGCTGCAGCTTCAGATTAAGTTGTTGTTATTATTAATCTGTGTGCTGTAGTTGATCACCAGAGAGCAGTGGAGCTGTCTACACATTACGTTGTTTTTTAGGTAGACAAAAGGAATTAATTGTTCCTTAATGGGTTGAGAATTTTCTAATTTAATAATGTAAGTAAAGCTTTTTAAAAACCATTTGATTATCTGAGAAATGCATCATCTCAAAGCTGAAAACAAGGCTGTTTATCTTAGCTCATGAAAGCACATTCTTTAGAACCTTGAACAAGCTCCAGCCTCTACCTGCGATCCTCTAACTCCGTCTGAGCCCGACAGCCGTTGGCAGAGTCTCACTGACTGTTAATGATTCTCAATTTGTCACCAACGTTCACCAGACCTTTGCTGTTGGAGCCTGTCAGAGGATCTCAAGAACTCTGTGTCGTGTTTCATATCTCTTCTTAAAACTTAGTTTGGCTTTTTCTTAACCCTCAGACCCCCACTGAGTGTCTGGACGGTTTCTGCTCCTGTCACATTTTTTACTTCCTGGATGCATTTTTCTCAGCGATATAAAGTCCTGCACCTCTGTGGAAACAACACAGCCATGATTAGAAACTCAAAGATGTCTCCTATGCGGAAAGTTACAATGACATGAATCAAGAGAATTTTTTTTTTGTTATATATTCATAAAAACTTTGCATAAACATCTGCAATATTTTCCAAGAGCCCACATGTGTTATTAATATTGTTGGGGGGGGGAAATGATGACTCTACCATCTGCTCTACTTAGATTTTTAATTTGCTTCCATACTTATTTTTGTCACGTTGGTTGCAGCTGACTCACTGATGGTTTATCAGTTGCAACAAAAGTGCAGAATTATTGTTTTTGTTTGTTGTTGTTTTTTTGCTGAATCGGGTTAGGGGGGCAAATGGTTAATTTTAGGCAAATGTCTTAATTGCACATGTAGAACATTAGCTTAGATTTGATTGTTTTTCCCGACCAAACTGAAAGTCGCACATGATAAGTTGAAGAAATGTTGAAAAATTGAACCTCTGAGGAGGATTCTTTCTGTTTCTTTCTGATAAATGATGCCATTTTTTACAATTGAAGGAAAACAAACAAACTTGCCTTTCAAACCGGCCATCGTGTTTTGGTGCCCGGAGGGTTAATGGATAGCAATCATCGTATATATTTTAATTACTGTACCGTAATACATCTAATAGTCTGGTTGTTTTTATTGTGTAGCTCTTTTGGCTCTCTTTAAAATAATCTGTATAAATAGGTTTTATTTTTGGACACCAAGCAGAATGTGTTCTAACTGTAACTGTGCAACTACAAGAAACTAATCAGAACATTACTTCCAGTCGTTGGCTCGCTTGTGATCAACTTTTTTTTTTTTGGACCCAGCTCTAATTGTGCAAAAAGAAGTCATACATAGAATGCAGATATCTAACAGTTGCATCCCTGTCTCCTGCAGCCATTGGTCTTCGGTGCCATGATCCACAGAGACGAGGCCTTCGAGGCCATCTTCACCCAGTACATGAAGATCATGACCACCACCAAACCGCCGGCCAGCGCCGAGCTCTAGACGGCCTCCGTCCCCCGGCAGCACGCCTCCACACTGGGCCCGAAATCCGAGGCAGAGATCCTGCCGAGATTCAACCGGACTGGAAGCCACTTTAACTCCACTCTCTCCTGCTGCGCGTGAGCCTCCTCCTCACCTTCTGACGGCCCTCGAGCGGCCCGGCTCCGATTGGCGGAGGAGATTCGTGGGCGTACTTAGTCACGCTCCATCGCGGGCGTCGGACGACATTTTCTAAGCCGAGGAAGTTGAGGATCAGTGTGGTTTTTATCAACCGGCAGAAGGCTGGCGAGGAGGCTGGTCCTCCTCCCACCTCACTGACCAACTGACAGCCGACTGCTTTCCTGACTGACTTGTTTCCGTGTTTGCATGTGTGAGTGTGTGTGCGTGTTAAACTGCGTCAAGTGGCTCTTTTCTGTTTTGTTTAGTTTTTTTCCTCTTTATTCCTCAGTCTGTGGCGTGACGTCTGCTGTGGTTGGAAGATTTTTAAGAAGCGCTCGACCTGGATGTTATAGAATATCATTAAAAAAAAGAAAACTAGCAGGTTAAACAACATTTAACTGCCATTTGTAGGAACAAACAGTTTCAGCTTTACGATTCGCGGCAACCATCGAAATATTTAAAGCGGCTGACACAACTTGTAGGAGTGCGCGAGTGGTCAGCGAGTGTTTTCTTTTTTTTAATACGTATTAGCTGTGAAAACGTCAGAGTTGACTGACACAGAGCCTTTCTGTTAGTTTACATTGCTGCTGTCTATTTTGTTTTTTTTTGTTCCTCCTCTTCTTTCGAGATCAGCAGCGACGGTCTAACAAACTGAAAAACGTTCGCTGCTTCTGTGTTCGTGAATCGTGCGGTGAACTAAAACAAAAAAAGCCTTCGAATTTTATTTTTTTGTCTTCGTAACAATCAGCCTTTTGGTTTTTTTTTTCGGAATAGAGGTGAAGACGAGAGCACAACGCTGAGAGAACAGAACTTTCCCAAGGCACAATCTGTACATACGTCGAGAGATTTTTTTTTTAAATTTTATTTTCTCCATCGCTGGTTTTTCTCCCCGCACTTTAGTAGAAGTGTAGTTGTTGACATTTTCGAGGTAGTGAATAGACTTCAGCTGGTTAGCGCTGGCAGCAGTCTCTCCCACTTAGCGGCGTTTCTCTCCTGTCTGACTACTCGAGACTTTTTCGGCCCGAGTGCAGCACAAACACAGTCCGAGCACGCCGAGTTAAAACCAGACAACCTTCACGCTGACCAAGGGGAAAATGCTGTAATATGAAAATGAACCCACCATCACGGCCCACAGAGGCTCTTCAGACGTTTGAGACTATGAGCATAAATATAAAAAGCTGCTCATCCAAGGCCGGAGCGGGAAAAACAACGACTGGGTGATGGCGCTCAGCAGCTCAGGTTGTTTGAGGTTACAGAAGCAGTAATTCAGGATTTATTAGCTGCATAATTATTTCCTAACGCCGCAGCGAGTGCTCTTCCACATCATCTAAATGTAGGCGCTTTTTTTAAAAAACAAAAGAAAACAACAAAAAAACACAAGTAGTCTATGGAGTAAACGGACAAAGGTCTAGAATATTTCAGCGTCACTTTATTTTAAGACGCCGCTCGCGAGAACAAAGCCGGTCTTTGCTGTCGCCGAGCGGCTCGATGCGTAGAGAATTATAATGCCAAACTACATCAGACACTTTACCGTGTTCTTTTTGCGAGATGAGCGGAACCGGAGGTCGCGATTTCTCTTCTGGTTTTTAGTACGAGAGACGATAGAGTAGCTCCTATGTACCGAACGCCCAGCAGCACAAGCTTTAGTTTCCTTGTAAATCTTACAAAAAACAAACAAAAAACAACACTGTTAAAAGGGAAACCTTGACATTTGATTCCGGTCGGTTTCACTGACCGACCACCTCCAGAAGGATGATTTCTGTTAACTGCCCTCACACTGAAAATGTCAAGGCTTCTCTATACAAGTCCTCTTGTCATCGTTGTGAATTAGAACCAGCTGGATATGAAGTTGCCGCCGATGCAGCGGACCGGCTCACACGTTACCATCGTTTCTGATTTGAACTAATTAAGGATGGACGTTTTTCTTTCTCATCCGTTCGTATGATTTGTTGTCAATAGGCTGCCTTCCCACACATGGATTTTCTATTTTTGTTGAGGAATAAATTCGATCCATGAACGGAGGGGGGGAAAACCTGTGGGACGCTTCGAGCAGGTGAAACCAGTCATGAACGCTGTCTCACTGTGTGATTGGATGGCTCGTCGTAGTCTTAAAGCTTTTACCTGAAGCCTTTTTCTTTTTGTAATCTGTTGACTCTGAGGACGGGCTCCAGCGAGGCCGTCGCTCAGACGAAGCACAGAATGTATCACGTTCTAAACGTCTAGGATTCTTCTGTTTTGTTTTTTTCTTTTTGCCAAATCTTTGATTTTCTGTCTGCCATATTCTGCCTACGCTCATGTTTACAGAAGGTTGTACAAAATAGTTTGTTCTGTTTTTTTTTTTTGTAAACCAGTTTGAATTCCTTTGAGTCTGGAGTTATGAAGACTGGACTGCTGTTCTTGAATTCATGTCTCGGCCCTCGTTGGCTCGACGCCGCTCACGTAACCGCCTCTGCTCGCCAATAGGAAAAAAACCACAGTGACAACAAGAGCAGTATTTTAAACAGTGTGTAAATTGTCATATCTGATATGTGGGTCGTAGTTTAGTGGAAGTAAACACCAGATTGGAGCAGAGGCGGTCACGGTGGACTGAGAAGACAACATCAGTGTTTATGATAGCGTGGTGGGATGCAACTTTTTGAAAAGCTGCAGAAAAAGAGCAAAAGTTGGATTACTAGCATTTTAAAATGATGTGATATTACTTCTTGCTTTCTTACTGAGAGTTAGATGAGAAGGTTGATGCCACTCTGTTCAGTTTACAGTGACAAGGACTGCATGATATGGAAAATCTGACATCACAATGTTTTTTTTTTTCCTGCGGTATACGTTGTGATATTAAAAAATCCAATAATTTTGCACTAGATAATTAATATTTGGAAAGAATTAATCATGCTAGAATGACGGGGTGACTGTCGAGAAATCCATCTGCATTGAAAATAAAAATTTCAATTAAAAAAATCAGCCATTAGCATCTTTTTCATGTGGTGTAAAACTAGCAAGATAGTTTGTTTTCTTTCGAGCTTGTGCTAATTTTAAGTTTTCGATCATCCTTTGCTTGACTTAATGTTTTTGGGTTTTTTTGCAATCAAATCCTCCTTTCAGACGTTTCTCTGCTGTTCATAGCTCATGTTGCTGCGCACATGCGAAGTCTGCATGTCTAAAAACACCGTACATGAAGTTAAAACTGGAGTAAATCACGTTCTACTGGACAGACGTCTCTTAGTTAAGATTAGCCAGTTTGATTAGTCGTGCGTCGTTTTAGTATCAAGCAACAAAAAAGTTGTAAATTTAAGTTAATTTGCTTTATATCACGTCCTGCTTTTGAACGTCTCACTGAAACGATAAGTTTGTGAGTGAGGTTAGACGTTGTTTCCTGCTAAGCTAAGTTAACATGACTGATTCAGAGACTTTTTTTTAAGCTAACTTCGCCACTCAAAGTCCTGCAGCACCTTTCAATTAGAAATCAAAACCCTGTGAGGCTAACCGCTCAGCTGCCATCAATATGTGATCAACTCGTGATTACAATGAACCCAAACGACTCACGTGTGACCCCTCGAGGCGCTAACGACGCCACACAGGAGTTTAATTAAACCTGAACAGCTAGGAGGTGAAACATCTTCCAGAAAGTCGATCTTTAAGTCCAGTTGTTCTAGCGGTAGAACCCACCCTGACTGTCGTCCATACAAACACGAGGCTTCCGTCAATCTTCTCATCTGACTCTGGGTAAGAAAGCAATTAAGTGAGTTTTCTGAAAATGTTAAGATGTGCTTTTGAACGGCGACACGCTGCCAACGACGCAGGGCGGTTGTCTTCTCAAGGTCCCCCTCAAGTCGGCGTCCTCGCAGTACGTGGTTCTGATTTCTGAGAGCGTCTCCACATGTGAGCGATCCACTCTGAGCGAACAGAACTTCACTGCTCGTTTAGGACAAAAAAAATCAAACAGCCTGACATGAAGTGAGTTAAAAAGATTCCTGTTTTGTGGACCGCGACAGCTCTCATAATATTTGGTCAGTTAATCTCAAATTAAAGCCTAAGTGTTACTGGGGAAACACTGCAGTCATTAAAATGAGTAATTAATTTGTCATCTGTGACAGTGGCTATGATGGCTTCCTCCTTTTTTTGTTTTTTTTTTTCTTTTTTTGTCAAAGAGGAATTTGTATACAAATTACTGTACAGTGAAGAAAACAAACCACTGAGTTTTTAAAAAAGACATGTCTATTGTAAAGGATAATGTGATGTACATTTTTTAATTTAAGTAAATGAATTTAAGGTATTTCTGTGCCTCCCGTCTTCTTTCAAAGCCGCAGTACCTCCCCGCCGCCACATGAGGTCACTGTGAGACTTCGCATCGACTCTAATTGGGTGTTTTCATTTTCTCCCCGTCTCCTCTGAGAGTTCGGAGGTCAGGGTGAGCTGCCCGACCTTCTCACTCAAGGATTTTCACTGCCGTGTGCGTAGGAATAAGAAAGTAGGTGCTTTGACACGTTCTACATGCCTGGCCGGTCTCGCTGCGCCTCACCCTGATTGGATGGCCGCGGAGTCAACGAGGAGGTGCACGGAGACGGGTTTGCATTATGCCTCGCTCCTGTGACCTCCACAACAAGACCGCTTCTGTCACGGCCCGCATTTGTTTTCTGCTCATATGCTGCACAGATCAGATTATGAGAGCAGAAATACAGAGAAAGCTTTCATAGATGGAGATTGTCCCTCAGAGAAACCCGTCAGCAGCATCATTACAAACAGTTACACTCACGTCCTGCAGTAGTTCATACAAAAAGGTGCCAGATTTCAGAGACTATACTTACAATTAATAGAAAAAAAAACTAAGAGTGTAGTGGTTTATCAGGTTATTAAAGCTCAATCGTGTTTAACTTTCAAAAACCAGCTGTGATCGAAGCAGTGATTCGTGAAATCTGACGTGTTTTGTCACATCTGTGTAGAAATCACCACTAAAATATATTTATTTTACTAAATATTTCCTTTTTCTTGTGCAGGGTTTTTTTTTTTTAATTATCACTAAAATTGAATTTAAATTAATTTACATGTAAAGTAACATAAAAATCTAGCTATGAAAACCCTTAAAATGACATTTTTTATAAAGAAAATGTACATTTTTGTTCAATTTAACCACTGTTCACATATATTCGCAAATTTATCATAAATTCACAGACGTTTCCTTTTTATTTAATAGATAAACCAGTTAAATTCAAGTTCAATACTGTAAATAGATCACTAAATTAGGTACAATTATGAGTAAAATAAGTAATGAATCAGTAATTTAACGTAATTTGTTTGTAACATAAGAGATATGTTGTATAATTAAAGACATTTTCATCACAAAAATGTTGAATAAAAGTGTTTTAATTAATGTATAACATGTAGAAGCATTGATAATCTGTCAAAATGCAGTCGTATATAATTTATCTATCCGTCTATGCATATTTATTTGTACTATGTATTATAGGTAATGTGACTTTTACACATAAATAACCTTAAATAAATATTTAAACGCCTGAAAATACACCTGATCTAATGCAGAAAATGTATTTTAAATTATGGAAAATTACTGTAGTTTAAGAGCTGAGTATTGGCTGTTATTTGACAATATTTTTAACATTTTTTTCAAACTTTTGGGGGATTTTAAGTGAACTCATGCGACATCAAAACACACATTCTAGTGTTTTTAGCTGTAAAACCAATCGAGCCGCGTTGAAAACACATAAATGAATCTTTTCCTTGTGTAGATCTGTTCAACTGTCAAAGCTCTAAAGTGACAAACCTCGACTTGATGTCGACGCACACGACTGTTTCCTCTTTACATCAGTCGGCTCAGTTCTACATTTAGCCGCAATTTGGTATAAATGACGCCTTTTTGCGTGTCTTTTCAGGTCGTGGATGACAAGTTCTCTTTGTGTCGCAGGTAGAATGAAGTCCATATGATGGATTCAAGCTGTGAAAATGAAAAATCTGTCTGCGAGCCCTGATTGCGAGGTGACACCTGTCATGTTATTTGTGACTCGGTGCAGGTGGAGGATGTGACTGAACATGAAAAAGCCGGGAAACGTTCTTCTGCAGGTGTAATGCGCAGCGCTGTGGGAGGCGCAGAGTTAAGCTGCTCTTTAATCCAATTTACATTTTGATTGAGGTGTGATTATTTCAGCGTCAAACTCTCGCCTCTCTCCATACGACAGAGAAAAATATATAGAAAGTTAAAACATTTATGCTGATGTATTCATCCCGGCTGAAACCTGACGACTGCCTTCAACGAAAGAATCAAGATATTGTTTATCTTCAAAGAACCGAAAATCAGTCTTGGCTCATATGCGAGAAAAGCGGCGTTTCATCGCGAGCAGATTTCCTGCAGAGGACTCATCAAAGCTCAAACGCACACAGTGTCCCTGAACACAACGTGATTGTCTTTTAAGAAGAACGTTTCATTCGCTGATCTGCGCTGACTTGGTGAATTATTCCCTCCTTTGTCCCTCTGCTCACATAAACGCTCTATTTCAAGACGATGCCAGAGAAGGCGGCATCGCCAACTTTCCCACAGTTTGAAGCGACTCTCTGTAAACGACACCTCGGAGTCACTCGGAGACCCGCTGCTCCGCTTGATGGATTCGGTGTATTTTTAGTCGGCCCAAAAGAGACAAACGTGGCACCATTTACCATCGACAAAACGGTGACACCGTCTGACGGCTCGTCCACTGCTGGGACATGTGTGCGCTTAATTGCTAAACGCACACACCAGCCCAAAAAAAACAACTTGAATTTGTTCTTTTGGTCCTTTAAAGACATAAATGTGGGAAAGTGCAAACTGCTGCACAGCTAAATGTGTGATATTCATGTTCAAACTTATGCAACCAAGCTGCCTCACTGTTTGATCAGTGACTTTGAACGCTAACATGTAGCTCGCTCTAGTAGCTATTATATGACTGCAAAGCTAATTAATAGATGCTTCATTGCGCTAATCTGTAATTTTAAGTCAACTGTGGATGAAGGTGCAATGTGAAAGGTGCTGCTCATCGCTACGTAGCATTTTAGCATCTCTCGGCTAATTTGTTTTTGTTTAATTTTACTCTCAGATTTAATTATGTACAGGATGCTTTTGTTGTTGTTGTTGCTATGACGCCGTGAGAGTGGCAGCCAGTTGCAGAGGCTACTACCTACCTTCTGTGTTTTTGGCTATTTACTTTGGTTTTTCTTCAATCTTTTAAATATTTTAAGGCCAATCTGGATAGAAAGTGTGTATCTAAGGGATTTCGAGCCAAATGCAGTAACTTCAGTATTATCTGAGGAAGATCATCCTCATGTCCTGAAGACGTTCTTCAAGTTTGAGTAACTGATTTATTTCATCTGCCCTCATACATAAATATAACTGGGTGTCATCAGCATAGAGGGGAAAGTTTGTGTAGTGTTTCTAATGATATTGCGCAAGAGAAGCACTTACAATGCTATGATGTGTCCAAAATTCTCACCGAAAGGCTTTTCTGTGTCGTCACATATTTGATTTGCAACAGCTTTTTCAAGAACTTCAGAAATGAGGGGGAGGTTCCATAAAGGTTGGCTGAAACACCTGGGTCAAGAGTGGACTCCTTAAGTACAGGTTCCAATAATACTGAGAGTTAATTATTCATCATCTTTGGGCAGTCAAGTTTAAACCTGGGATTGTTCTTGTGTTCCTCTGTCGGTTTATCAAACACCAGGTGAACTTGTAGCTCACGAGCAAGGGGAAACTTCCGGAGCTGAAAAATTAAATGCCAAAACCTGCAGTTCCTTGAGTGGCCACTTGGGTTTGTCTTCAAAAGTGAGTCAGTCTCCATAGAGCCCCATGTTAAAATGCACAACGTTACAGCAGAAATAAATCTATTTACAGTTCGACAGAAAACAGTATTTTGGTCTCGATAGCTAATTTTCCCATTCATGACAACTGTACAGGGAATGAATCTTAATAAAACCCACCAATTAAAATTATAATAAGGCTCGAAATTATATATTGGAATGATTTTTGGATTAGCCACTCGTTAGGGCACCACAGTGACCTTCAAAACCTCTATTCAGGAATTTTACGGGTGGCGTTTTGTCCTTCAAAGTCACTGTCTCTGAGCTAAAAACCAATTCTAGCAAGCTAGCGTGCTAACGTGAAAGCTTTTCATCATTTGACTGCAGGTCAAGTCAGGGCGTCACAACAGTTACATGGCCTCTTTTAAACTAATTTAAATGCCGTTGTATCTTTAATAGCAATGTTAGGGAGGCACCCCAGAGCAGGACATTTATTCACCCGACAAAGCATTTAGCTGTTAATACTCAGCAGAAGCTCCTGTTTCCTTCACTCGAGTCATTACATGGTTCACCTGCACAGGTGTTCTCACTCATGCGGCCTAATGAGCCTGCAGACTGCACTCCACACTCAGAGTCGTACTTGCACTTTCTAGGGCAGGACAACCTTAAACTTTTATGTTTCGGCCATAAAAGTTGAGTATGTAGACTTGGGTGACTTTAAATCCCCTGAACCTGAGCAGAGCTTTGATCAGAGACAAGACTGGAAACAGCTGAATCTGATACACAAGCTTCCTTTATCTTAAAAAAAATGTGCTAAATAATTACATGCAATTTCACTTAAGAAACTGCAGGAATTCTGAAATTAGTATTCTTACCATCCGAGCACACAGACTGGAGGCTTTGTGTGTCTGTCTAAGTGGCCGGTCGGTAGCTGTGCGGGGTTGAGGTGACCTCTCAGTCTCTGTGTGTGGTAGCGCGAGTGTGCTGCAGCGGAGAGGACATCAGTCATTAGTTAAATGTTGAAATGATGCTTCCCCCTAAAGGATAGCAGGCCATTCTGGCTATAACTCTCTCCTCTAGCAGCTGTCAGCGCCGCCGTAATGACTCCCACACACACACACACACATGCAGCAAACGTACAGTCTGAGCCGGGGCTTACCAGAGCGCTCATCCCGGCTGTTAATGGAAATTATCACAAGACGTACACACATTTACCATAACGAAAAGCTGTCAGTCAGAGAACAAAAAAATAAATCGTTATTTTCCTTCGTCCCCGCAGAACGGCTTCCTCCTCCTAATTTAATTCCCATCTTTCTTCCGTCGCTAACACACACACACACACAGCTAGATATCAGCCATTAAAATCTGATCTGGATCCGAACACCAATCAACATTTAGCGAGCACACAGTTCAATAACGCTCTCGTAATTGGATTCTCACCCAAAACAGCTGCAAGCAGCAGCGGCAACAGCAACTCTTTGTCTTTATGGATGA